GAGGACCAGTCCCCAAGCACAGAAACACTACGACCATTTGAGTGGTAGAATTGAAGGCCTTTCCCCTAGGAGCCGACACTACTGCTTGTGGCTTATGAGGCTGAAGAACTCCGCACGAGTCTTGGGGTTGGATCTATAGAGGAGATAATGGCACGATAACCGATCGGAAGTTTGAGGACCTGAATGCTCCTAGTACACAGCTTGTCGTGGTAGAGGCAGAAGTCTTCTGTATTCCTCTCATACTCATACACATATGGGATGCTCTGATGACCACTGCTACACCCATAGGGTTGATAGCCTCCTCCACGGCTCGGGCTATCTGCTGTGTCATCCTTTCTTGGACCTATGGCGAAGCCAGTACAAGGGTGACGGACACGGAGAGTGTCACCTGTAGTCGCCTGGAAAACATCTCCGTTATTCGAGCTAATTTACTAAGTCCGAGGACTTTGCCACGAGGAATGTATCCGATGTCTACCGTTCCTGAACAGGAAAAGTGCCTTGGGCAGGGATCGAACCCGGAGCTGGTAGCAGAGTCATCCCACCATAGAAAGGCAGAAGATGGTGCTCGCAGAGGGAAAACATGTCAATGTCTCGGACCATGACCATCTCATCGTTGTCTGAGGGCTCGACGTCGAAAACAGCGTCATTAACGATTTCCTCAAGAGATTCGGAGTACCTTGAGCCAAGACGATTACCGATCAAGATCCTCAACACACAAATTCGGATGATTCTGTCCGAGTGGTAGAGCACCCACGTGTCTATCAAAAGGTCCCGAGTTCAATTCTCTCAGCTTACCCTTTAGTGAGAAACTCCAAAGCTCTGGCGTAACGCATAGGTGTTTTCTGCAGCCCCTGACGATCAGCATCCTCTCCATCAATTGACTCCAGAATCCTCCTAGCAGCCGACTCGATGCTCGAGGTCTGAACGGCAACCATCAGCATCTCAGTCCGTTTATACATAAGACTTTATGCTCCTATAGTCAACTCTACGCCGACAGACTAACGCCAGGGTATCAAAATATTCCCTTCAGCTCGTTTTCGGATAGATCAACTTTGCTGGGACGCGCAAAGTTCCCAAGGTCTTCGAACTATGATCAACCACTCGAAAAGATGCTGTGAAATTGCTACCGAAGAGCCTGATTTAGTCGACGAGGTGTATGACGATTCTGGGATACTCGCCGAGGACCTGCCAGTCTTCGTAGCGCTATCTTCATCTGTGAGATGGAGGGACGCCTGGAATGGAAATCTCCCAAGAGTGAGACATAGTCGTGGAAGAGCTCACGTCATCATCAGGAGTACCATCTCGAGTGGGCCTCGAAATGTCCGCGGCCTCGCCTGAGGAGCGCCAAGTATCCACACAAGCCACAGAGGTTTGCGAATGATTCTTACCACCTCCGACTTCCTGCTTCTGACGGCAAACTTCCGGCGCCAACGAAGTCATTGCAAAAAAATACAACCTTATCAACATGCTACCTTGAATGACTCAACGCATGACCAGCGGCACTTTAGGCACAGTATGAAACAAAACAAGAAACTAGACAATACTACGGCAATGTGGAGGAGGAGGAGGATTGCCGTTGGTCCTTGGCCGCGAGGCGAGCCTGACGCAGCCTCTCGTTTTCAGCTTCTTCCTCCGACTCTTCGCATTCATTGTACATTATCATAGCGATGAGCATCGCACCTGAGCACATGAGAATTAGGCCAGCTTCAGAAAGAATGGGATTGCTGTAATAGGAAATACTACAGGGTCATGGTAGTAGACTACTAGTAG